ACGTTTTTTGCTGGGAAACACAACACATTTCAAATTTTACTTCTGTAAATTGCAACGAGAAGTAGAAAAAATTGCTGTTACGGTGGCGAAGTCCAAATTATAAAAACAGTTACAAAATTTTTACTAAAATTTTTGAAAAAAAAATTGATTTTTGCTTTCTAGTAATTTTTGCTTTTTTTCAGAGTGTGTCAACGATTCAGTAACTTTTAGTGCTGTTTCAAAGAATATTTCGACTGGAAGCCTCAGTCAAATACAGGGGATTTTAAGATGTCCAAGTTAACTTTTTACATTAGAGTGCTCCGTAGAGTCCGCCAATTGCCAAACTACTTCCGGTACAAAAATTACAGCGACATTTATCTCATATCATGGCGCTACAGTTACTCAAGTTACTCTGCGAACAACCTGTAGAACTTGTGAAACTTGGGAAGTATGCCATCCAGATGGAGCTTTAACTTCTTTTAATGTACGTTTGGTATACATGTTATGTGTAGGACAACCATAATAGAATAACTGAATAATGCGATAGACAAGAACTTTTTTTGGTGAACATATTTGCACTTGTTATTAGTGTCGGTTTCACTACGCGTCTGTAATTGTAATATAAAGGCAACATCAGCTTCTGCATATTATTATGTTACAGTTGATTTTTTTTTTTTCAATTTATAAAGTTCTGTACAGTTCAGGTGTATTATCAGTGAGCTGCATACAGGAGGAAAATTTGAGAAATAATTTGATATAATTTGTATTCATTTTGACAAATAGAAAATTCAAGCAAAAATTTATGACCAAATGCTATTAAAATGTATTGTCAATATTGAAGAAAGTTAATATGACAAACATTTTTAACAGAAAATGTTCAATAAACACTTTACAAGGCTGTTAAGATGGATAAGCAAAAAAGTTTATTAATTGATATCAGAATTTTCTGTTTGTGCAGCAATGAAAGTAAAATTGTTTTAATTGGTGAGAAATTGAATAGTTGCCATATTAAAAAGTTTTTCTGCTCTGATAACCAAAATGTATGTTTTGTTTTTTCTTCTTCTTTAAAGTTCAGAAATTAGTTCTAATAATCAAAATCAGATGCTTTTAAAAATTGCGTGTTTGACTGCAAAATACATGCTGGTAATCAGTACTGAAATTGTTATTCAAACAGGAAAGGAAGAGAAAGTCAACACTCAAAATGCGGAAGAAAGAAATGATTGTTGCAATCTTTGTAATGTTGAATCTGTTTGGTGAAGCAATGGTTACTATGAAGGTAGGAAACAAAAATATTGTGTTCAGAAGCTCTGCTTTGGCATTTCAGTTTTTGCCCTGTTTGGTTTTGACCTGTTCCGGCTATCAGTATGGTCCAGTACTTGTTTCTTAGGCTCTCATTAGACCTATCTTGCTGAGTTACTTCAATTTTTTATACTAAAATATCACCGTGACGGATACGAATACTAAATACACTTAACAAAATTTTTTTAAAGCTTTAACTAATTCATAAGCTTAGAGCGACACTGTTCTGTTCGCTGAAAACAGAGAGGGTTTGAGAAAAATTTGAAAAGAACAAAATAATGGTAGACTGTTTTAGTGTTTTCTAAATTACACGTGACTGAATGCATAAAATAAAACAACGAGCAGTTAGAAATTTAGTCATTGTTCGTAGTTGGTGGAGAGATTAACAAAAAAAAATCAGTATTCTTTTGTATTAAAATATTTCAGTATTTGAACAATGAAAAGGGGTGAGTCAATTTATCATTCGTTTAGTATTATTTTACCCTGACAGGTACTTTCACTTTCAGCAAAGGACTGGAACTGTTGAATCCAGTCATGATATTTAGATGCCTTGTTGTAACTGCTCTAAGAACATTTTCTACACTTCATAAATTTATTAATTTGTTTAATCTAGGCTGCAAAAGACTTCTACAGCAAAATCTTTTCTAAAAGCGCAGTTAGAATGCAGACTTATACATTTCTTAGAATAAAATTTCAGCAAACAGCTCCCATTAGAAAAACAAAAATGAAAATAATTTTAAGAAACATTTCTTACTTTATACGTTGATTTATTTCACACTTCTAACACACGGTTTCAGGCAAATGTTAATTGAGAAAGAAATTTTGTAAAAAACTCTTGCAAATGACATGTGTTCTGCAAGTACGAGATATCTACAACAGTGAACAACGAGTGCTGGAAGGATTAGAACAACACGGATTAAAGCAAAGCTTCATGAACTTTCTTTTTTCTGCAGATATTACTGTTAGTTAAGCAGCGAAACAGGAATATTTAGCAAACTTTTTGTATTTATATTCTGGTCGTTGTTTTTAAAGTAGTCAGTTATCCAGTAAAACTTTTCTTTTAGACATTTTTTTGGTCTTTTTCTTCGTTATTCAATCTATTGCTTTACCAGATTGCACAATTTCTGTTGTGTTCTGATGGGTTTGTTTTTAAAACCGGTTATTTTTGCGGTTCTGGCGGCAGTTTTCTTTAAAACACATATCCAAAGTCTTTAAGAGACCACAGATCTCAATTTATTTCAAAATCGCGTAGATGTTCTGTATAAAAGTAGTCATCAAAGTCTGTGCAAACGATACAAAAGAGCAAGAAAAAAACTACTGTTCATGAGTAACAAAACTTGTGTTATCGTTTTTTGGACGAAATGACTAGAACACCAAAGACGTAGATGTTTTATGAGCTGAACCAAGAACTGAAGGTTCAGAACGCTGCAGAACGCTGTCGCTGCTGCAGCAAGGCAAGATGTATGGTTATAATCTTAAATGTGTTTGAAGGTGAGTTTAGACCGAGGTTCAAAACGCTGCACCGATTGACTGGGTGGCTATACTTTAACTGTTAGCTTGAGACAAAGTCGAGCTATAAAACTGAATGCTTAATTGTTTTTAGGAAAAATTCTCAAAATCATGGTTAAAATACGCAGCAGCGTTTGCAAACTGCTGTCTGATAGGTAGCACGTAGTTGGTTGCTACTAAAAACTGCTTTTTCTCAAAACTAATGGAAATTAAAAAGGTACACGACGTAAGGCTTATTTAGAAGCAGGTAAGTAAAAATGTGATTCTTAAGATCACTGAACCTTTTTTACCTAGAGCTTGCTATTAGCAATTATTTGCTTCAAAATATGAGGACTCATGACGCGACAAAGCGGAGGAAACGAAATGATAAAGAAGAACTATGCGATTTAGAAAGTTATTTAGCCCAAGTCGTCTATCTGTGATACAAAGTTTATTTTGGGTTTTCCACCAAGAAGTCCCGTTTGTTCTGTAAACAGAGAGACCTCTTGGACTGAGAAGATCAATCAAAGCAGCCACGTGTTTCTTACTTTTCCTCTACAGAGGCGAAAAAAAACCCTTTGTAGCTACTCATGTTCTGTGTACAGTTTTTTGCCAATAATGTGTAGCAAAACAGTCTAAACTCGTTTAATAACAAAAATGGGTTTTTTTAACCACAGATCCAACACTTTTTTGACTGTTAGTGTGAAAAATGGGACGATATCTGCCGTGTGAAATCTCATATACGTTCAATATCTAAACTGCCACGGTAAATACCATTCATTTGAGTAATTTTGAGCATATTGACAGATTATGAGCGGACAAGAAGCCCCGGTACAGACAAAGACAGCCCAGTTGTTTTTATCAGCAAGCATCGGCGGCGAGTTCTATTAATGAGGTGTTTTTGACAGTTAAATTCAGGTAGCAGGAAAGTGCAAGCAGCTGAATTTCGATGAAGACATCAGTTTTTTTTTTAGTGGTAAAGTAAAAAAAGAAATTGTTTTTGGGACGAGTTTCTAAAACTGGCCAACTTCAGAATTTTTCTTTTATTCAGCTTACAACTTACAATTTATTTTTCTTTTGCAAGTAAGACAGTAATCTTATTCAATGAGTAGCCGTAGACAGCGACACCAAATATCCATTCACTTTATTTCTATGTTCAAATCTTTCTTCTTAGAAGGAAAGTCAAAATTACATCTGATGCCCTTAAAATCTTAGTTTCAGAGGCGGTTACTTTTGGCTAAATACGCACCACTTTTGGTGCTGCAAGGAGTTTCTTGAACACATTGTTGGTGTTTGCTAAACAGGTCTGTACGCGGGATAAGAAGTATTCCTGGCAGTATCGACAGCAGATGGGCGGGAGAAAAAGTAGGACGGCAATACTAAAATAGGCTCCGGCAGTATCTGTAATAGAAAATTTGTTCTCGATATGGGTCAACATTTTTTTTTTGCTGGTCTCCTTAAATACGTCGACTTTCCGTTGGCACTACAGAAAATTTAGATTCTCTTTCTGGAGTAATTGGTCTGCAAACTTCAAAGATGTTCTTTATTAGTAATCTCACTCACATTTCTACTCAGTACCATATTGTTCGCTAATTGTCTCAAAAATTATTGTTTTGAAACGCTATTCGCAACTCTGGAGAGTTCTGTTTGACCTTGGAAAAATTCTACTATTTATTAAACATGTATTATTTTTACAAAAATCATATAGATTAAAGCAGGAAAAGGTTTTGTCTGCAAATTAAGACCTTCTTAAAACGTACTTCGGTTAAAAAAATTTATTTCATTCTCTAATGGTGACAGACTATCATTTTGTAGCTGAAAATGTTGAACGTTACGATTAGCCAAGAATTCTGACAGGCTTATTATATGGTTCAGGAATGTCGGGTCAAGATTTTTTAGGATTTTAAACAATAAAGTTTTTCTATAGAGATTTTACATCAAATTTCAAATGGCTTATTTTGATTATATAACAGTCGTTGAAAAGTACGATTTAAAATTTCCAGTCTTTTGTACACACTACTTTATTTCAACATTCAGCTTACGGAAAACCTCTGATTACTTATATTCGCGAGAAGCTTCAATTAAGTTCTTCTAAAGTTGCCAATTCTTTAAACCATATCTGTAAAAAAATTTGTATTTAGCTACAAAGTACCTTTCAAGAAATGTTTTAGTGACGCTTAATTGGTTGAAGCAAAAGGTGTAAAGAAGTATCATAAACCTTTTTTAGATCAGAAATGATAAGCATAGTCCTCTTGGTCCTCTCAGTCACGGCAGTTTCTGAAGTGCTTGGCTGTGCAGCCACTCGAACCCCAGGTAGACGTTTCGTACAAGCAGTAATTTCTCAAACTTTTTCTTTCTTGACGAAGGTTTTATTAAGGCTGTCTTTTAACTCAAAAATTTTTTGGTGTTTTTTTGGAATTATGATAAAATTAATTTCAAAAATTTAAGAAGACAATAAATAGAATAAAGTATAAAATTATCTGTTAAAATGATAAAAATAGTAAAAATAAAAAATGTTTACTTTTACTTTGATAATGTTTCCAAAAAAGTCTTGTTGGTTTCTGAATATAAACTGTTTTGAACGTTGAATATTTTTTATTTATAGACGTCATATCTTTAAACTTTTCAAACTTAATTCTTCTGATGACTGCAATCAGAGCAGAAAAAATTACTGTTTTTTTGATAAAATCAAGCACACATTAAAAAAATGCAACATTTATATAAACATTTTCCAAAAAAGTTTCTTTCGCTTTCCAACAGTTTTTCTGTTTTTAGAGTGTGTTTGCCAACTGCCGACTCTTTTCAATCTTACCGATGCTTTTACTATGGGGAGTGGAAGAATCACTCAAATAGGGGACTTGTTGGGGTGTCCTAGTTACGCTTATACGTGCAGTTGCGCTCAGACTGCTATCAACTGCCGAACTGTTACTGTAGCAGCAATTTCAGAGACAGGAGAGTTAACTGTGTATCCTCTTACTTCCACTACACCTGCTGAAGTTGCTATACAATTAACCTGTGAAAGTGGCAGTACTTGGACAGTAAATCACAATCTTATAGGCATAGTCAACAACAAAAATATAAGATCATTGATCTGTATAGGTTCACAGTAGCGTAATTAATTAATTAATATCGGAAATTTTAGTAAGTCCATTTACATTTCTTGTTAATGGTCGTTTCACTAAATATCTGTGACTACAGTGTGAATGCTGTAGTCACATTTTGTTTGATTAATTTGCGACAGTTAATTATTGTTTTACTTAATTTATTATTATTATTATTATTAATATTAATATTATTGTTATTATTATTGTTTTACTATTAATTACATTGTCAGCTATCTAATAAGAAAAAAAAATTAAGAATTATTTTGAGACACTTTTTTTTGATAAATTAATAAATATGAAGCTGAAGAAATAATTGTTTGAGTGATAGCTTTTTGGCAGTATTCTAGTCATCTCCCAATATCTTTCATGAAAAAATTATCAGTACTAGAGAAGACTTTTACAGATATTGTAATAAACAATTCTAATTCTTTGTCTGCTGGTAACTTAAAAGTTATTTGAAAGAACGCTGAGATGTCGTAATTCGTTGCAGCTCAAACAGTTATAAGATCAGTTAATGTTTTTAGATGACAATAACAACCGAAAAAGACATTTTTCCTTTGTTCAACGCAGACTGAAGCCTCCATCTCAGTAGAATTTGAGCATTATCAAAGCTTGAAGGTAGTATGTGAGACTGGAGTTGTGTGGCCCAATCCTTCTACGGAGTTGGTATGTTACAGATCTTGGGTGAATTGAGTAACACGACAAATACTAATTTATTTTAATGAACATGTTCACTCCTCCTTTTAAACGTTTTTTCACTGTGCATCTGTAAACGTAATTGGAAGGTTGCGCCAGCTTTGTGCGCGTTCATCATGGTTTTGTTGTGCTTATATTCTTGCTCTCTGTACACACCAACGGGGTAAAATTCATTTTCGTGACTATATTTTATTGCCGAAATGGAACAGGTGTGAACCGTTTCCAAAGCTGCAGACAAGAATTCTTAATGCTTCAGCTTTGAACACTGAACATGACAATTACAATTGAACATGGTGGATGTCCGTTTCTTGCTGTCATTTACAAAATTTTGCTCGTAATTCAGACAATCGTCAGTGCTTACTGCACAACCTTGCACTTGTGGCACGCACTGAGCGCCATTAGTGGTAGCATCTATCAAAAAAGCTATGGCAAAATTGAGTTCCTATAATGAGAGTGAAGCCAATGAACGTCAACACTAACGTCTCTGGCAATAAAAGTCCTATAGATCATTGATGACACCCCGGAAAAGTGGCTACAATAATCTACCTCCTATATAAAGAGAATTTAGAAGAGAGACGTTCAAGCAGAATCGTTAATACAATCAGATATATCCAGATTTGTAAAAAAAGATCTCTAATTATTTTTTTCTTCGAGGTACCTTTCAATTAACTTATACAAATAACAGGCATACTAAAGACAAAACTCATGAATTTACCAGTGGCTATGTTAAATACTCTTTTCAAAAGTTCTTCAAAGAACATTTTAAAAATCCCAAAATTTAGGACTCTTGGTTACTTCTGTTAAACTGCACCAAAGGTCCTCAGTCAGAATCAGTTCTGAAGGCTAGTTCGATAATATTCAAATTCTACAACGTGACCCGCTAACTTCGTCTTTAGTTTCGTCCAATTATATGTTCGATCACTACTTTGTTGTACAGGCCAGCTGCCATAAAACTTGTCGCAAAATACGACAAACTTGGTTTATACTAGCAAGTGAAACAAGCTAGGATTTACTGCTAGTGGTTCTGTGAAAATCCGAATAACCTGTATCCCAACAAAATTTCCGTAATTTTCGGCTGTCACAGTTCTGCATTCCATCACTAGATAACGCTTCCCTATAAATACAGATATGCATTTCCTCTGGTATCAAAAAATGAATTATTTTTAACCTAATCGGTATTTGACTCACGATCATCATCCTAAAATCCACTCTAAACAGGCCTTGAAAAATACTAAAGGCTTGAACACCTGGAACTAAGCTAGAATGCGACTTTGTAACTGCTTAAACTTCGAAAGCGCTTTTATCCAGTCCGCTGTAAACACTCGTTGCCTGTTATCATTTCTTAACCAATTAGCTCCATTCGTTTCCGCTGACGACAAGATTTATTCTTCAAGCTTACCGCTTCTGCAACATTTTATAACGCTCCCACATTCTGACTTAGCTTCGTACTAATGTGGATCTCGACAACAATTCGGCAGCAAATTGTTATACTCCCATCGCGATGCACATTCATACGAAGCCAGAAATTCATTCAGAGTTAGTTGCAAGTTGTTTGGGAAAAAAATGTACGGTATACTCGTAAAACAAAAAAATTTCTGAATTGCTAGAACTGTGAACAAGCAATGATGTGCTGTCCCTTAAAGTAGTAGTAAGTTTAAGATTGCGTCACCAGAATTTTGAAACAACGACTAAAGAGCAACAGCGCAATTATAAGAACTGTGCGTTCCAGAAGTTTATTAAAAAAACTCCACTATATGGCAGAACAGCTCACCTTAACTTGCGATGCTCAGTTACATAGCAAAATGATTTAAGTATAAGCTGCCGTTTACAATTTGCGTCTCGCATTTGCAGAAAAAATAAAAAAAAGTGGAAATTAAAAAAAAAAAGACCAACTAGTAGTTGCTGCTATTCATACAAATAACTTTTACCATTTGCCAACACATAAACAGACGTTTCACTCGATAAAAATTACAACTTTAAAGGAACACACAGTTCAATGATAGAGACCTATCATCAAATAAAGCCACAAAAATATCATATACATTGGTGCTCTTAAAAAGCGATCCGGTAGAAGAACGTCACTCAATAACTGAATCTCACTGCATTAACCACTGCAGCAGAACAAGTTTTTCAAAAAGTTATCACTATTTAAAAAAATACTTCTATCACCGAATAGCTGATGAAAGCAAAACAGTTTTGCCAGTGTAGAACAATTGAATAGTTAAATTCATTACAACGGCGGAAACATTATCAGCAACAATAAAAACAGGAGATAACAAGGAGGATACATTCAATTTTGTGCCACGTCTAAATGTGAAACACTACAACCAGCAATCTGGTATGGTTAATAACGAAGAGAACAACCCATACCAGAACGCTAAATGTGTCAGTTTTTGATTGCATTATTTCTATTCAAGGGTAACATAAGAAAAGTTCATTTCAAACTATGTCTTATGTTCACATAAGCTTAACTCAAATTCCATTTACACTTTCAACAAAGAGCAAGAACCCCCAATAACTCAAGGTAGTAAAAATAACTGCACAACTCATATAAAATACAACAAGCACGTAACAATAGTACGATGTGTAACATATTCCAATGCGTAATCAACATAACACCAAGTTTCAACAAAAGAAAAAAACGGTTATACCCACTATAGAATTAAAGTAAAATGCCAATAGAAAATTCTAAGTCTCACAAGTACATATAATATTCTATCACT